GAAAACCTAAAGAGAAGAGATTATTGCAATTATCTAAGCAACAAGAAATAATGGTCCACAAAGGTATTGAGAGTGGACACAAGGAAATATACATGAGAGATGTTATGAAAGTAGAAATGGCAAGATTTGGCAACAGATGGGATATGTGGGATGAGTGAGACTGAGGAATCAAATATGACACTGAAATTGTAACCTTGGGTGATTGGAAATATAGTAGTGCCCTTGACAATAAGAGGAAAGTTTAACAGAGGGGGCTGTTTTGGAGGAAAGATAATGTGTTCTGTTTTTGACGTTTTGATCTGTTACAGATGTCCAAAAACAATTGGTGATGTAATCGTTCAGTTCAGGAGAGACACTGGGGCTACAAATATATGGTTCTTGGAATTATCTGTGTAGAGATGTTAACTGAACACGTGGAAACTGATGAGATCATTAAGCAAGATAGTATAGAGGGAAAAGTGGAGAGAGTCTAGGGCACAGCCTTGGGAAAGAGTCCCAGTACTATACTGGTAAATGTTCAGCAACCTGCTCTCCAAAAAAAAAAAAAAGTACCAACAACACAGTTTTAGGTTTAATCCACATTATCAACCTTCTCCATTGCTTTCTTAAGCCTAAAAATTAACAGAACAATAAATCTAGTCCAAATCTGTTGCATTTGCCAATTTTCAAGCTATAAATACTCACAATGAAAATTTAACAATCTGCTCTCCTAAGCTGGTTAGATCTGACTCCAGCACAACCCTGACAGAACACCTACAGTTAATGGGTATGACATAGCTGAAGAAACTCCAAAAAAGACATACAAGGAGAAGTCAAACACGATGAAAACCAGGAGAGAAGAGGGTCTTGACAACACAGAGGAGAGTATCCAAGATTAGGTGATCAACAGTTTCAAATACTACAGAATTTAAGTTCCAGGAAGATAGGGACTGTTACATTTTTGTCTTTGCATCCCAAAAGCCTACCATAAAGTAAAAAAAAAAAAAAGAGGGGGAGGAATATTTTATAAATGCTTTTTAATCAAATTTAATTGAATCAGCTCCCTAAGGTCCCTTCAATCCTAAATACTATGATCCTAAGAAAATACATTTGTCCCATTTGGCAAGAGCTTGAAGAGCAGGGAGAGGAATAAAAGGAGTTGCATTCTCACTGCACTTTAGTTTCTTTAACTGTAAAATAAGGAGTGTGGACGGGATGACATCGAAGGTCCCTTCCAACTCTAGTTCTGTGATCCTAAGAAGATAAAGCTGGGAATGCAGGGCTCAGCCAGATTTTGGAAATGCTAGTTGAAACCTTTATGTTCAGTAGGCAAATAAAGAACCATTAATGGCAACTTGAAGTGATATGAGTCTATCCCAAAGCTCCCCCTCTGCCTCTCTCCCTTTTTGGCTGCTTGAAGTCCTTTACACACAGAATATTAGTCTGGCCAAAGTAAGATAGATGGACTGAGTTGTCAGGGAAATTGATTTTCTAGGACTTAGTAACTAATGAGAATGGTTTGAAGATAACACCCAAATTTTGAACAAAGCAGAATGGATGAATTTGAACAATTAATCATTCTTTAAAAAACAAATAAGGAAAAAATAGTCATTACAGTCCCAAAGTGTTTGAAGGCATAAGTAAAGACCTGCTGCCTTCCTCATAGAAGTGCTACAAGGAAAACACAAATGTTAAAGTGCTATACAGATGTGAGTCATTTGGAGTACATAGTCTATATATAGTAAGTGGCTGTCATCTTCTTTGATCTCTCTCTTTCTCTCTCTCTCATAAAAGGGTAACATGAATGGGTGGAGAAGCCAAGTGGGAAGAGGAAAAAAAAATACTCCTTATCCATTTGTAATATGGTTTAAAAAAAAAAAGAGGAGAGAATTGGGAGTGAGAGACTTGAATTCAGATTTTATCTCTACTACACACTACTCACATGGCCTTTGTAAGTCATTTAACTTCTGGATTCACCTTTTTCACATTGTTAAGTGAGGGCTTGGACAGAAATGATTCCTTCTTCTTCTAAATCTGAGAACCTATGAATGAGGTGATGGCAAGTATATCAGCTTTATCAGAACCTGGTGTTCTTTCCCCTTCTAGTTTTTCTCTGAGCCACTACCCACTATTACATAAATCACTGAATGAATAGGATGATAGTTTTTCCTTTTCTCAGCAACAAAGTATAGGTGGATTATTTCTCAATAATTTGTATAATGGGACTGACTGTAACTAAAAACAATTGTATAAAATATTGAGCTTTGTCATCTTTAGCATGGAAACACTATGGTCCAAAGTATGGTTCAATAAATTGGATAGTTCAATAAAGTAAAAATTACCATGTTTTCTATTATAAATCAGATCTATATCTATATATATAATATATATGCATATTATATATATGATATATCTATAGATATATTTAAATATGTAGTAGAAGGAGTATTACAGGTTACCAAATTGGATACTTCACGTTGCAATGTGCTGTATCATGTTTTAGGATGTGAGTTTCAGGATACTGTTATAAAGCATGCAAGAACAGATTTTGAAAACCTGTTTGCTGGCCCAAAATTTCATTCACCTACCTCTCTCCATGGAAATTTCTGCTTTACCTGTGCTTGCTACAATCCTATTTTCTACCTTCATCAGATTTCTGTCATCAGCTGCACACAAGTTAATCTCTGTAAAGGAGGTGGTGAGAAGGCTCTCAGAGGGGCCATGTTTGGTGTTCATCAGACACCAGGGAAACTGGCACTTCTAACTGTTTCACCGTTGTATGCTACTTGGACTCCTGTGGATGTGAAGGACCAATACTGTTGTAAATAGAAATGTGCAGAAAGGAGGTCATTTATGCTCTGCTCCTGGTGTGACCCTGAGTTTCCATTTAAAACTTTAGAAACAGTAGCTCATCAGAGCTGCAAATGGATATGACCTGGGAAGGTATGCTTCATACAGGCTCTTAGGATCATAGTTTTATGACTGGCACCTCAGAGGTCATCTAATATAACCCCCTTATAGAATAGGAAACTTCTATAAGTCATGAAAAAGTGGTTAACCCATGTTCACAAACCTAGCTGGGAAGTGAGCCCAGGGCCTTTGATCCCCAGTGTCAAACTCTTTCCCATGTATCTAGCCTAGAAAATTGAGTAGGGGAAAAATCTGACTCGGAATTATTCCCCAAAATAATTCTGTGTGAAAATAGGGCATCTCCCTTAGGTTGAAGGTGGGTGCCCTGAAGCTGAAATCCACTTGAATCAAAAATGGTACCCAAGCTATCCAAACCAGATACTTAGGCAGGGCATTTAAAGATGGATCTTTTGCCTGGTGAGCATATCTGAATAATTCTTCTACGTGAAGGATTCTTTTGTTTTCTTTTGTTTTTTGAGTTGGAGAAGAGCAGAGTTCAGTATTTACTATAAGAACTTGTTTCAACAAAGTACTCAGTTGTCTCATACTCCAAAGTATTGCCATTAGAGGATCTTAATGTTATTAATTTAACAACCACTGATCATCCTCTAAACCCAAGAATGCATATTCTATTATTTACCCTTCCAAAAAGAGCTCATTAACATAACTGAAACTTTTCATAAGAAGCTTCTGCTGAGGATTCTATCTGTAAGTCTGTCTGTGTGACTCTCTGTCTCTGTCTCTCTGTGTCTCTCTCCCCCACCCCCATCCCATCCTCCCCATCTGGTCTTCCCTTTATCTGTCTGCCTGTTGCCCTTATTCACAATTTCCTGTACTCCACTCTTTCTCCCATTCCAGCTCCAGCTCCCTTTCTTTCTCCCCACACAACCCCTTCTCCACCTTATCGTCTCCTTAGGGGGAAAAAAAAAAAAAAACTTTTGCTCCTTCACAGAAAGCTAGATCTAAGACCTCCAGCACAGAAGTGGTTGACAATTCTCTGTTTTCATTGGAATGCAAATGTGCCCCTGGACTAGATTCAAGGAAAGTGCTTCCTCTTCCAATCCTTCTCTCCAGCTCCACCCCAGTCCTTGTTTTCTTTTGTGCCGGTGTAAATAAATAAGAGGCAACTGGCTTTCAATCTGAAGACACAGCTGCAGGGGGCTCTTAAAGAGAGCTAGTGAGAGGGAGAGAAAGCTCTTCTCATGCAGAAGCTCAGAAAGATGTGGAGCTGAGTTTTCAAATGTAGGGAAGGCTGATTTTTCACCCTCTTTTCATGTCACAATTTCTCTGATTCCTGCTGCATCATATATAGAAGGCAGAATAGAATGTCTTTGTTTTGACTTTATCTTTAGAAATGATTTTCAGCTTTACTCGTCCAAAAGGAAGAATCCTCGATGAGTAAAGCAGCCGAATAAACTCTGAGAAGTATGGTTACTCTTGGGGTGCTCTTCAGATAAGTATACAACTTGGTTGGTTGAGAGGGCAGAAAATTTGCAAAGGGAAATGCCCCTTAAAGAAAGATTTAATGCTTGAGTTTCTTGTTGAGATTAACTAATGAATGAAGAGACTTTAAAAGTGTTTGATGGTCTGCAGAAATCTACAGATTATGACTAATGCAAATGCTTTCACTTCAGGGTGAGAAACATCTCAGCTGTGTAATCAAATATATACATACATAATATATATATGTATACACACATCTATATATACACATGTGTGTATGTATATATACATATATGTAAATAATTTGTCAAGCCATTTTTTTCTTCTGAAGCATGCATTTGTGACTTTACTGTCTCCTAAAAATGCTACTACTTTTACAGGTTAAAAGTTGCTTGCCTTTTAATCCAATACACAATTAATTTGCTTTAAAACTACAAAATGTTCCAAAAGTCTGTAATGCATTTTTTAGCTTTAATAGCTTAAAATTGTACTAAAACCTTTGGGATACCCTGTATTTTGATCAGAAGTTTTCCTGATCTGATGAAAGTTGTTTTTCTGCGTCAAGGGGGTTAAATGTATATGGAAGCATTTTTTGCTTTACGCCTTCCTCAAGTTGTGTTTTCTTTCCCTTCCCCCCCCTCCCATCCCCTCTCTCTTCTTGACTACAGGGCACAACTAGCCGAGCAGCCCATTTAGCTGGATCTGAACCCTCTCAATCACATGCTGCCTCTCAGTCAAGAGAGTCCTTTGTGCCGAGCCATGGGAGCGCGTTCCATTTGCCTGACTCCCAGCATTCTTCAGCCCTTTATTATTCCAGCTCCACTCTGCCAGCACAGAGAGTGAGCTCTCCCTTGTCCATGCAGCAGGTAGGCTCTCCCACAAAGCTCCAGCGGGTGGGGTCAGCCTCAGAGAGCACTGGATACAGCACCACACAGCGGGTCTCCTCTCCTAAGCAGTCTCCAAGCCGTCTAGCCAAGTCATATAGCACCAGCTCACCCATCAATATTGTTGTGTCTTCAGCTGGACTTTCTCCTTCCCCAATACGTGTGACCTCTCCACCAACCATCCAGTCTAATATTTCATCCTCTCCTATTCATCAGCTAAGCTCAACCATTGGCACTTATGCTACCCTATCTCCTACAAAACGTCTAGTCCACACGTCAGACCAGTACAGCAAGCATTCACAGGAACTGTATGCCACTGCTACCCTTCAGAGACCTGGCAGTCTGGCAGGTAAACCAATTTAACTTCTAATCTTCATGCTTTACTGTTGTTTTCTAAAAGACGTGTTTGGTCTAGAATGTTGGTCACCTGTGTACATTGTGAATTTGTATGAGCAGTGGTGGGAAACAGCTGTGCTTCAACAAAGTTTCAGCTTGTGGGTATGATGTTATCAGCTCCCAGTCAGTATCTGTATCAAATAGAAAATGTGAGAAGTACCCCAATGTGAAAGCACTGTTGGCTCTTTGGAAGCTCTTTCCTAGGCTTTTGAAATGAAATTTTATTTTGTTTCAGTTTTAATGAAAAGGATAAGACATGAATTTTAGAAAAATCTGGTAAAGATTCATGAGACTGAATTTTGGTGTCCAAAAAAAAATCTCATATTAAAACTCCCTTTGTTATTCATATATCATGTTTTAATTTAGTTTAAGCTACTCAGAAAATCAAAGTACTGTCAGCAGCTGACACTGAATTTAAATATACTTTAGGCTACAGAAAAAAAAAGGAGCTAGTAAGAAGTTATCAGAAATTTTTAATGTACCGAGAAGTTAAAAGCATTGCTCTAAATCCATAATAAGGTTTTAAAGAAAGAAATGTGATTGGTGCTGATCTCTACTGAACTGGATGTTGATGTCCCTCTATAGAGACCAGGCTGGCATTGATGATTCATTTTTGAAAGCACTATTTGATCTGCTTAGACAAGATAATGTTGTTGAAAGACTAACATTTTGCCTTTTGAAACATTTGACAACTAACTGTTTAAGGTGTAGTTTTTTTTTTCTCTTATAAGATCATTCTACAATTTCATCACTATAGGAACAGATGCTGTGCTCATAAGTTTTCTTTCTTGACATAAATAGATGAATGTAAGATAAGTATGAAAAAAAGAATTTGTTGCATAAATGAGACAGGTGTCCAAGAATCTTTTTCTTCATCACATAACAATTGTCAATATGCCCTACCTTAACATAAATAACAGTGTGCAAGCCTGGGATTTCAGTGTCCAAGAATTAAAATCAGTTTATTGAAATGAAAATACTTCCTCTTATTTTACTTTTCCAAATGAGAAAAGGTTAAGGATGCTTTCTCACTGTAGGAATCACAAAATTTTGCAACTGAATATCCCTTAAGTAATCTAGTTCAGCAACTTTCTTTTGCAGATGAGCAAACTGAGGCCTAGAGAAATTAAGGAATTTGCAAGGTCACATTGCAAAGCCAGAACTAGAACCCAGGTCTCTTCACTCTTATCCTTCAGTTCTTTGCTCTTTACCACATGGTAGTTGAACTAAGGGAAGCCAGTCAGAGATGTAAATATTCCCAAACACTTTCTATGTATATATAGGTGGTTGTTTATAGAGCTAGCTATGAAATATATAAATTGAACCCTATCTTTTTTGTTCTGTCTTTAATTTTTAGAAATTTCTTGATGCATTTTTCTACACAAGCCACTTTTCAATAACTCTCCACCCTTCTAAGAAGAAATTCCCTGAAAAAAACAGTATAATGTTTGTTAACAGAAAGGAGAGACACCCTTTAACTTTGACAGGTGGTAATGATATTGACCATCATATTTTATCAGAGTTTTGTTGTCTAAGTAGATTCAATATGCTTTATGGAAGTTATTATATATTTTTAAAAATTGCTTTCTTCACTCAGCATCATTTCCTATGTCTCTCAGAATTCTTCATATATATCAGTCCTTATGACTCAGCAATCTTCTATTACTTTCATATATCATAAAACTGACCATTCACCAATTTTGACTCTATCCTACTTTTAAAGTGTATTTATTTCTTCACAAATGGTGGTACTTTGTCAAACTGCTATAGGTATGATCTAATTTTCCTAGTGATTTTTTTTTAAGTCTATGACATTTTCAAAAGAAGTCTCTCAGTTATTTTTGTCATCTTGGATCTTGGCAATGAAGACAAGGCAGGAATGGGATAGAGGCAGGACAAATGGTTTCATTAGACATAAAAGGAGACTGGCAGATACCATATGTCAAACAAACAAGAGGTCAGTGCAAAAAGATAAGCCAGAACCCTTAGGAGCTAGTAATTACTGAAAGTTCAAACAAACAAAGGGTTAAGTCCAGTAAATTGATTGAAGTAAGGATTGTGAATTTAGATTAGGAGATAGAGGAATTAAAAAAAAATGAGGGAGAGCATAGCAGTATTGAGGAGAAGAAACCTAAGCTGAAGGTTTGGATAACAAGGCATCAGGAATCTAGACTTAAGAAGTTAGGATCTATGCACTGTGTACTAGCAACAACAAAGGAGCTTAGTGATAGGAAGGAAGAAAAAATAAACCTGCTTTTTGAAGCACAGACATGCTATATTCTTCTTGCTCAAAGTCATAAACTAGCCTTCAAAAAATATTTCAGATCAACAGGTATCTATTAAGTAACTGCCATTTTGTGGGTGACACAAAAGTGAGATGGTTTCTGTCTTCAATGAGCTTATAACCAATTAGGCAGATACAACACATGCTGGGGCCAGCTGGCCAGAGAAGGGGACTTAATTCTACATAGATTTAGGGATGATGAGTGGAATCTTAGAGCAGCACTTTTTCCAGTTGCAATGATAATATTAATTTGATTATTTTTCCCCTGACTACTGAGTAAGAAGTACAAAGTGTGGAAGGAGTTGGCATTCAGGGAGGATATAATTTGTGTCAGCAGGGCAAATCATAAAATGCCTGTGCTAGTGTCCTGAGATGACATAAAACATGGTTTAGAGGTCTGTGACTGGTAAGATATAGAGGACTGAGGTAGAAATTGACTCACCCTGGAATTAGAACCAAAGCTGAGGGGATTGATTTCTATAGTTACATTTGAGGGAACAGTTATATTTTCAATTGTGTAACAATTTATTGTCTTGGTAAATTGTTGGGATCCCTGAAAGTTTATATAACTTACCCAGGGTCCCATCCTCTTTATGTGACAGAATGAGATTTGAACAGAGCTTTTTCTGATTCTGAGGCCTCAATCTACCACTGATACACTTTCCTCACAAAAGCCTAGTGCAGTAGGTAGTGGAAACACTATTACTCCCATTATACAGATGACGAATCTAAGACTCAGAGAGTGAGTTACCCCATGCCATAAAGCTGGTTGGTGTTAAAAGGAACAATGATTGGAACATTGCTATCTTCTGACTTTTTCCACTATTCCATGTTGGGGATAAATTCTTGTTCCTTCTAATGAGTATGGTCAGGGAAAAATTAATGAATATAACTGGCTAAAGTAAAAGAGTAAAGATGAAGTAAACCAAGCAGTTTCTGATATTTCCCTTCTTGGAATATTTTTGATAAGTAAGAAGCATGTCTTGTAGGACAGGTTTGCAAACTGCATGCTTGATGATGTCATAAGGGAGGTTGCTATCTGTATAGCAACTGCTATACAGATTTCATTTGACTGCTGCTATCCTCAGTAAAGACTAGAATTGCAGTTCTTATCACCAAAGCTTTATACCCCTTCTCTTATATTTTTCCCAGAATTCCCCTAATTTCTGCCACTATATGCCATGTTTACCAGCAAGTAAAAAGACTGAATTTGACCATGGATGATTTTTTTTTAATTCAAAATACCCTTAATTTTAAGTCTGTAATGGTTATTTAAGTATTCTAAAGTGTTTATATTATACAATTGCATTATTTAAACATTGTTTTTTTTTCAGTCCAGTGCTTTTTGATCAAAAAATTAGCTCATTATCTCTGCATGATATCTTTGTTGCATCAAATGTTGTATCCTCATTTTAGATATGAGCAAATTGCTCCATGGAGGAAGTTTGTAAATTGTTCAAGCTCATAATTCAAGTCTATGATAGATCCAAGAATCCAGCGTTATATACTTGAAATCAGAATAGCTGCCTTAAGTTGGTCTCTCTGAGTTATTTGTTATATTGCCTTTGTACACAGTAGGTGCTTAATACATATTTTTTAATTGAAATTTAATACTATAAAAATTTTTGTATTTGCTAACCTGCTGAATTTTCTCCCTAGCTGGTAGTTAACACAAAACAATATCTTGAAAATAAGTATGTTGGTTGGAGTAGTGGTTTAGAGCTATAAAACATGTGTCCCACAGGCCATAGGCCATGGCAACACTCCTGAGTGCCGTGAAACCAGAATAAAATGTAATTGGGAAATATTCAACCAAAATAAATTTAAAAATATAGTAAAGCATAGATAATACTAATCTGTGGTATTCTAAGTAAAAATATGGCCCACAGGAATCTCTATGTATGGTTTAGTGGCCCCCTCTTTCTAATTGATTTTGACACCACTAGTTAAAGGTTTCTTCCTGCTTTAAAATACTCCTTGTATGCTACAGGTACATTTATCTACCTATTTCTAGAAATCAGAAATTTATTGGTAGGAGTTGGTTACAGTGATGTCCTTACTACAGTTGTCTACACAGAAAACCCTGAAAAGCACTTTCCTTTTTCAGAGATCTTTCCAGATACTGAGGTAGACCTCAGAATCTTGACTACTTCAGAAAATATTAGGTAGAAAGTAGCCTTAGATAATTTGAATTCCTTTGTTACAACCAATGTTCTTTTAGGATTTCCATTGTCTTCTTAGAGAATTGAGGGAATTTGGACAAGTAGTTTATTGTGGGAATTGAGTTGAACCACACTGACTCCATCTTGTTTCTGGAGTTAGCTCAGTTCCCTTTCTTTTCATTTATGGGTCTAGTCCAAATTCTGTCTTGTGAGAAAACATTATTCAGTTGTGGGGATTAGGAGGAAACCTTATTGCATTGTTTGAACCTAGCTTTGGGAACCTGGGAAGCTCTACCTGCTGTTTATAGACCTTTGACTAACTGACCAAAAACCCAGTCAGACCCAAAGATTGATGCAGGAAATTTTCTTACAATTATATATTTCATACAACCCATATGTCTTGTCTGAAAATTGTACTCATCAATCAGTTATTGTTTCCATGTTCCTTTGATTGTTTACAGATACTTGGAAGAGTGAGATTCCTCTTTTTTCTGATTTCAGGAAATT